AGGAAGAGCCTTTGTCCCCAGTCTCTGTGAAGGCAGAATCCTAACTCTGAAGATTGTCAGCTAGCAGACACAGCTGACCCTGCTGGCATGGACGCCGACCGGCCCTCTGTCATTTTTCACTTCCCTGAGTCTACTGAGCCCCACCGACCTTCCTCCCCACTCACATCCCTTTGAAACACTCAGTCACTTCTGGGCAAATCAGAATGGAGCTCAGCTCTGTCTCTGGCTGTGGGCGGTGACTGAATCAAATCTGTTTTTACTGCTTTAACTAAAGCTCTCCTTTGTTTATTTTTGACACCTGGAAACATTTCTGAGCGCGTTTTTTTTTCTCCCTGCCCCACACGTGGTTCATATTTACTGATATGCCACAGAAATCTGCTCTCTGGTTCCTGTTTTCAGTATTTCCTTCCCTGGCTGTGCCCGGCTTAAGCACACCTGGTGGGAAGTCAGGCAGATCTGAGCCTTGTCATTTGCCAGCTGTGTGGCTTTGCATAATTTCAGGGCCATCCTCAGTTTTCACATCTGGGGAGTAGGGATTAGAATGTCTCCCTCCTAGGGTTGTCAGGCAGAGTCAAGAAAATGCGGGCTGGAAGTCCCCAGCAGAGTGCTGACACCGTCCCCTGCAGTCCCTCCCTTGCTGCTCTCTCAGACAAAGTGGCAGGAATGGGCGGGCTCCCCAGAGGACAGCAGGTCTCCAGTGGCTCACACCAGCTGTGCGAGTACACCAACCCTCAGGGCTCAGCCTCATATCTCTACCGCGTTTTTTTCAGAGTATCTGCTTCCTCTCGCAGAACCACCATCCAATCAGGCAGGAACCAGGCAGTCTCACTTCACAGAAGCACACCTGCCTGCCGCTCCTTGGTGCTGGTGCTGGGTCAGCTGGTGCTGGGTCAGCAGGTGCTCATGGGCAGTGCTGGGCCTGGCCGTGGGCTGAGCACCTGGGACACTGAGAACAATGCAGACGAGGTCCAAGCCCTTCAGCTGTGGGTAGTGAGAGTTCTCGGGGTGGCCTCCCCAACTACACTGTTTCAAGGCTCCCAGTCAGCCAGCCCTGAGCTAGCACATCAGGGTACAGCCACCCCTGGGGGTTTGGTGTGCTTTAAATACCTACAGGGTGCATCCTTCCCCCCAGTCTCTGAATTTCATTCATTCTTTTCCCAGCTGGCCCCTCCTCTCCTCTTTTCCCGGTGTCCTGCCTCCTGGACGGCCCATCCTCAGTGAAGGAGGGCGAAGGGGACAAGACCACGTAGGTTCCTGGCAGGTGTCTCTGTGGCCCAACCCCTGATGCTGAGTGTGACCTTCCTCTTCTGCTGCAGACCCCTGATTGGGCAAGACAGCAGGTGTGGCGAGAGGCGTGGTTGCTGCGTTCATGATGGGGGTAGTGCTGCCCTGAGACAGGCAGGAAGAACAAACCTGGGGAACTGGGCCGACCTGGGACCTGGTGCGGTTAGTGTGGCGGGTCTTGCTCAGCCAGCAGAATGGGGCTTGGCCTGTTGATTTCACTGTTTGTGATCAGGAGCACTCACGTCAGTGGAGCTAAACACCAACATAGAAGCTTTATTAGGGAGAAATGTAGCTTAGAGGGACATTACAATTAAAGACACTCTTGGGGACTCAGTACGGACTGAGTGTTCCCTCTCAACCCAGACTCAATAAGTGCTGGGGTTACAGGTTTGAACGGCTTCCAAGGCTGCAGAGATTACGCAGTTTCAGGATGCAGCTGGTGGTTCTGTCTTCAGAGTGGATGAACACGGAACGGCTCTGTCCTTAGGTTGGGCACTTTGGCCAAAGAAGAGACTGCAGGAAAAGCTGTGCGTAGCATTCTGTGAAAGCCCGGTCCCTGTTCCTGGCCCTCGACCCTCCACATTGCACTCTTTTGATGCCTTCTGGCTCCTCCTGGGTCCAAGGGCCAGGGCTGTGTAGCAAGAACCAAAAGTTTGGGTAGATTTTGGTAGGAACTAAGACCTTCCTGACTAATGTCTCAAATTAACTTTATTTTCTCTTACTCCAAAAGGAGACATTCAGCCACCTGAGAAAGGAAAGAGGCAGAAAGGGAGAGAGTAATCAGGCTAGTAGCTCTGAGCGTCCTTCCCCCCCACCCCACCATGTCCTGGTTGTCCCAGGTCCCAACCCCCTTCACAGCACTGTGGGGACCCCGGTGGAGATGCACAAGGACACACCCAACATCCATGGGGCAGGGGGCCAGTGCTGGAGCTTCCCTGCATCCTGCCAGCTGTCCCACAGCTCCTGGGTGGGGAGGGCATGCCGTTTTACAAAAGTGACAGAATGATGTCAAAAGGACGAGTGGGTCCTACCCCACGTGACCCAGGATTCCTGTTTCTCCAGCACCCATCACTTTTCTTAAATCTTTCTTGAGGCCAGGCGTGATGGCTCATGCCTGTAGTTCCAGCGCTATGGGAGGCTGAGGCAGGTGTATATCTGAGCTCAGAGGTTTGAGACCAGCTTGAGACCAGCATGAGCTGGAGTGAGCCAGAGTGAGACCTCGTCTCTACCAAAAAAAAAAAAAAAGCCAGC